TTTCGACATTTTAGAAGAACAACAAATAACAATATCAGCGTGATTCTATTAATGCCTTGAAACGAATCTTCAGCATAATAGATAGCAACCTTTTAGTATCTCATACTGCTAGTGGGATTAACGCACATTGCTATAATAGACAAAATCTGAATAAGACAGCAGTTCTGGAAATAAGGAAATGTGAAAATCAATAAAAATTAGCTGACGAGATAACGGCAATTAATTAAGGCCTAAGTATTCAAAATAAATGTAATTAGAATAATAACTTCAGCCGTTAGTGTTCAGCTTTAAAACGAGTATAAAAGTTCTAATTTTGTTCCTACACGCTTCGCTTCAAACTGTCTCGAAATTCTAAACAGTCATTCAATAAAGTTTTCTTATGTCAATATTGCAAAAGACTTCCGCTCCCCATCTTTTGCTGTAGCCTCTTTTTCTAGTGACTTTCATCCAAACAGAAGTGTCAACTTCAAAGAGTTGCTTTTTGTGCTGTCTAAAATATGAGTTGTTTTGCACTTTACTTTCTGAATTTTTGTTGTATTGCAGCAAATCTATCATCCTCTTGTATTTGCTAGAAGAATCTCTGCGAGATAATGTGTCAATTTGAATAGTTTTTTACATTTATATCTTAAATTTTTTGGGGGGACTTGTCTGTATTGCAGTATCTAAGTTTCAGTTGCAGCTTGAAAACAGTTTATTAAAAAAGCTGTAATAGCGACTGAGACAGACAGCGCCGGCAGTATGAAAATTTACAAATTTTGAATCATTGCCACTGTTTTTATAGCATTATGATTTCATCAAACTTCAATGAATTTCAATAAACTTTGTGGCACTCTGGTTTTCTTCAGTTACCAAAAACTACGTAGTCCTCATGTTTGATTTCTAGAAATCACACAGAAATTAGAGCTTCAAAACAGTGCAACTAAAATATCAATTTTGACTTAAGAAAAAAATCTTTTATTGGAAATAATTGTCTGCCAGTGTGAAAAAACGTCAATCACCAAAGTAGAGCTGGTATAAAAGTTTCTTGCGAAACTCCTAAATAAATCTTCTGTTTCTCAGTATAAAAGAGATAGATAAGTTTCTCATATTTTTCTGTAAAAGACTTCTTGAAAAAAAAAAAGCTTAACTACATTGAAAAGTTGTATTCTAATAGATGATTTCGTTCCCTTTTCGACTGTGAATCAGGCCAAGATTACTAATCAGTATTTGAAAAGAGACAAAGACATAAAGTTTTTCAAAAATTCAATAAAATTAGAAGCGACGTTCTCTAAAAATAAATAATTTAGGTGCCTATTTTTCCATATTTCACAAAAAAATTCCAGAGGTTGAGCTGCGAGGGCTTTCTGGAAGATTTGAAAAAACAGTTGATCAAAACTTGTAGGGAAAGAAAACCGGAATTGTTTCCTTCAAACTTATTTTTTTGATATTTACAAGAAAATTAATTGGTTTTTTTTTTGTACGTTCGTTGTGACCCATCAATAGAAGCGATAAATGTCGCTAAATTAGCGAAAAAATTTGCAAATCTGACAAGAAGAACAACAACAAAAGGTCTAAAAAGCAAAAAAATTCGAAATTACGAATATGTTAGGTTCAGGTTACTTCAGTTTTTTTCAGCATAATTCATGAATAGAATTCAGAATTAGTAATTTTCCTCTCTTTGCGAACTGAGCTCGGCGAGAATGTTTACGGTCTAGTGATAGTCATTAAAAAGTTTTGTAAAAAAACGTTTGCCTTTTTAGTTAATTTTTTTTCTTTATCAACTGTCAATCAAACAGCTTTGAATTTTTTTTTCATCAGTAATAGCAGAAACTGAGCTTCAAAAAGTTTGATTGCTAAATAATTTGTGCAGACAATTTAAGCAGTTTTTTGTTTGAAAGTGATTGTCAGCGTAATATAATCACCAGAATTGTTACGACACATTTTACTGAATAGCAAAATTTGCTCGTAGTATTTTTAGGGTAGATGATGAGTATTAAAGAGAAGCAAGTCAAACAAAGGAGACTTTTTCAAATTAAGTTCGTTCAACTTTAATCTTCTTTTTGCCAATTTCTCCTAAATGACCATCAAGAAAGTCAATAAATTACTATATTTGCAGAGCTTACATCACGTAAAAAAGTTTTGCGGAACAGAACATTCTCAACTAGTTAGCTGTATACAAAAATTTAAAAATCTCCTTTTCTGCAACAATGGAGACAACAAACGAGAGAGAGAGCCAAAAAATTTATGTGAATTAAAAGATGGCAAAAATCTTATTTTTCACGCTATTAGTGTTGAAGAAGTCAACACGAAGTGTGGCATGAAGGAAACACACTGGTGGTTACTTCACGTTAGACCTCTAAATTTTTTAGAAATTTTAAATTTAAAACTGTTTTGCTTTGAAAATTGTAAGTATGCGCTCAAAACATTTCCTTCTTTATATTTTGCAAAAAAATCAAAACTTGAAATGTAGGTGTGTTTGACAAGACTTTCGCAGGAGATTCTTTCTTTCCTGTAACTCAGAAGCTTTGTAAAATGGTACACCACAGAACGCCATAAGATTGCTTTCACTAGGTTTCAGTTACTGGCATATCCAAAGTCGAAAGTCTTCAAAACGTCATAGTTGGTAATAGCAATGTCGACATGCAGAGAATTTAAATTGGCAATGGATATTTTTTGCGGTGAAGAAATTTAAAGTCAATCACAGTTTTTCAAGTTCCACTTCAGCGATTTGTTTCGGACCATTCAGTGTCTCACCTCATCGAACGAAAAGTTATGTATCGCTCGTTTTGGCAATTCGTTTGCACAGTATTTCAAAATATTACAAAAGTGTTGCTATTCTGAGCAAATTCCTTTACAAATTCATTCAAAATGCCAAAAATGGAGGGACGCTCCTACATTGAAAACTCAACAAAATCATGCCCTCTTTTTAACATTTTAGTAAAAGATTCAGTGATGTTGAACGGTGACTGGATAACAAACATGATTAACAGCACATTAGCAGAGTTTTGATGACGTAGTTTAAGTAGACTAGCAGTGTTTTCACAGTCATTCTGGAAAATTCGTCTACCGCAGCCGCTTGATCACGAAGTCAAGCCCTGTAAACGATGTCTTCAAATCCTTTACCAACGAAAACTCAATTTTAGAGTTCATTATACGATGCTTCCCAATTCCTACATAGGAACCGTCCAATAAAAATACACTTTAAAACGTTTCAGTTGGCAAAATTTTGTCAAATGCTGTTCATTTCTCTACTAGTAGAAATGACTGCAAGCGACTATGTCTCATAAATCTCAGGCCTAAAGTGTCGAGTTATTTCAGAGTACAATATATTACACTTTTAGCGAAGAGTGATAAAAGTAGTAAGACGATGCAGCTTTAGACAAGTCCCACAAGGCTGCACTTTAGAAAGCAGAATACAAAAAGAAACTAAACGGCTACCACCAAATAAGGTTCAGTGTCGGAACTACTCAGCAATCCGGAGAAAGTAAAGAAACAAATCAAACTGGTACTTTTACAGCACTTACTAATGAAAGAGGAGAATAAATTTACATGATTCTTCTTGTTTCCCGGCTCCTAAAACAGTCAACCTAAACCCTTTCTTCCAGTTCTGAGGTTAGCAAGTAAAGGTTTGGCACATAAAGCTGACTAGACAACCCTCATGTTTAAAGGCATTTTCGTCCCAGATTTAAAGCACGACTTACACTATTTTTGAAACTGATCTTTAAACGCGCAAACTTGTAATGCACTGTTCGCTTGACTCCGTTCTGCTTTAATATTTTTAATATTTACTGTGACTTATGCCGTAAAGATGATCAAAAATTTGATTAGTTAATCATAATTTCAATAAAGCTTGATCGGTTTTAATTATTTTTGATTTTACTTTGTTTGTCTATAAAATTCACACCACAACGTTGCAAACGTTTTATTTTCTCGTAATCTCTCACAACGACAGTCCTCGTTTGCTGATCGGTTAGCTACTTTTCGGCAACAAAAGCTAAGGAAGAGGAGGACAGCGAAGAAAAAGGCATTTGAAAACTACCTTTTACAATTTCTTGACTTCAAAATCCACGCCTTCTTAACTTAATGGAAATTCAAAGCTGTATTTGACCTAAGTTTTTTTGTGCTGACGTAATAGGCAAATTAATGAATGCTTTTTGAATGTTTCTTATACGTAGTAAAATTAAGATCTGTTAGAGCAAAAACCAAACACTACCCAAAGATCTTATAAACCAATCATACGCCTCCTTGAATTGGTGTCCTAAAAAATAATAATGTGCCGGTTCGGTTGATATTCACTCAACAAATGACTTCCAGTGACTTAAGCATTATTCAGATAGAGACCTACTTGCAGCTGGAAACACCCCAGTGGATCTGTCAATTTCTTATTAATTTATTCCAACACGTACAAGAAACCAGGAATAAATAATGACTTTATTTACGTACACGTCGAACATGCTCACCAAAAATGCGGTTCGCAGCGCTATAAGGACAATATTTCAGGAAAACCTCAAAAAACTGGTATTCATTCGTCCTCAATTACTTATAAAGAACCAACTAGTGTAGAAGGAAATAGAATGGAACTGCACAGTTTTAACCAAAAAATAAGATTTTTTTTGGTTTTTTGCTTTAAACGACAGTCTGTAAAAATGTAAGATCTTCATTTGTCGGGTTTTACTCGACAACAAACAGGAATAGCTAATTACAAATACAACAATCAAAAATGGCGCCACCTTCATCTATCCAAGAAATTGAAAAAACTGAAAAAAAATCTATAGTGATATTACATCTAGCAATTACATATTCCTAAAAAGACAAAAATTCCACTGCATAGGTACAGGCCAACTTAGTTGCACTCTTCGCAACATAAATTAACCCTCTAAAAAGACACATTGAAACCTGTACTTTTGCTGACATGAAACAACTTTAGAAATTCTGGCGGTTTTAAATGTGTTATAAATAATCGTGTTGTAACACTGTGCAAAAAACTTAATGAACTGAAATGAAATACTTTGCTGTATTTTTTAGTACATTTCCGAGCTATCAATACTAACTTCCTCTACAATCTTGCCAACTCTCCTACCTTTAAGATCTTCTACAATATCAAAAACCTCTCTTTTGCTTGTTTCAGGTAAAAATCGGATCATATAAAATATTGAATAAGTAGAAGGAGCAATGTACAGCACCAGGAATGCAAAACTGTTGATTTTCTCATAAAGCGGAAGTATGACAAATGTTGAGATCACGACCATTACGGTATTCAACGAGTAACAGAGAGACTGTACAAGAGATCGGTGTCTCTGTGGTACCAATTCTAAGGATAGTATCCAACTTAGTGAACCAACTCCGCATCTAAATCCATGAATTTAATACAGAATAATACCACCAAAATAATTGCGAAACCACAAAAAGTAAATTCTGCTCACTGTACATTGAGAACACATGTTACCCGTATGTAAGACCGTAGAGAAGAAGACACGCCATACATCCGTACTTTATACCATCCACTGCCTTATTTAAAAGTTCGAAAACTACATACAGTAACAAAATTGTGTTATTCAGTGACGACAATCCAATCAGAAGAATTCGCCTTTTAAACCTAAATTGTTTTCCATAATGATTAATAAGGCAGAATACATCTTCGGTTTCTTTTCACTATTTTAGAGGTCCTGAACAAATTCCACCTAATTTTGAAAAAGGTAGCTTGAATTATGAGAAATTTTGCATGTAACTACTTGCCGTTCAACGGCGAAAAATCCAATAACTGTGCCAACAATATATAATATTGTCATGCCTGTAGAAGTCCAAGCAGCAACATTATCTTCAAGATTTACGTGCCTTAAAAACTCCGTTGACGAGAGTAGAAGCGACCATAATGGTACCGTGTTCTGCAACAAGAAAAAAAATTTTTTCTTGCTTCACACTCGCCCTAATTTTTAAAATACCAAGTCTTTTCCAAAATAAATAAATTATGAATAAGTAAACACTTTTCAGGATTATCCTAACAACTAAAAATCACAGCTGCAGTAAATAAACTCGTCAAAAAAAAACGCCGTCTAACATTAAATATGAATAGATTATCATGATTTAAGTAATGTGTTTAAAAGAGAAAATACTGTGCCATATAATCAGGAAAAATACGTCCTATTACGCTTGACTAAAATAAAAAAAATAAAAGGTATAAAATCAGCTTTACCTCCAAAGCGAGAAAGGAAAGACATATTGCCTTCCGAATATAAGGAGTAGTAAGTATCTCTTTAAGTGAGCTAGTACTTTTCAAATCTTCCTCTTGTTCCTGCAACAAAAACTATTAAATCTGTGACTTGTCCTAAGACACCAATCACAACTTCACTATACTGCGTTCTAAAACTTCAGCACCACCAAAAAAGCAGTTAGTGAATTGGTCGAGACTAAAATTTCGACAATTTCAAATACATTTTTGATATAACTTCCAATAGGATTTACTCGTATTACAGTGTTGGAAAGATTTCAATGCTATAATACAGATCGAAAAGTGAAATTAATAAAAAGTCTTCAAGTCCTTTTGACAGTTCTCACAAAAGGCACCAACATTCCAAACCTTTTCGAAGTCTTTAAGTATGCCCTCCACATTAGCATCTCTGCCTTGGAAGAAAGTAATTGATTTAATTGCTGCTTCACGATCTCTCTTCGTTATGTACAGGTATTTCGGAGTATCAGGTATTGGAAAAAGAACAACCAGAGCTAAAGCACCTTAAAAAGGAATTCTGTTGTCAGACGCCACAAAGGCTTAAGTTGAAGAAAGATAAAACGACAGAAATTTACTCGTTACAGACCTCAAAGGTTTAGAGCAGAGGATAACTGAACTCACTTGGAATGATTGCAAATCCCAACAAGAAAGACAATTTGTGTCCAAAAATTTGATTAGTTCCCAAGAACATTCCAAGTGCACACATAGAAGAGTAGGATATTTCGCTCATAAGACTCAACATCCCTCGAAGGTCAGTTGGGGAGCATTCCTTTAAAATCAAAAAAAAGAGTCAAAACAAAATATACGTCCTGACCTCCTTCCGCCCTAGCTAAATGTTCATCTGGTAAAATACTGCTTAGATAATTTAAGAAAAATTTATGAATTATTCTTGCATTTCGTAAATCAAGTTTTGAGAACTCGATAAAAAATTTTGTTTAAAAAACTGGTTGAAAAGTTTTAAACTAAGAATTACCACTGGCCTTCGGCATTAGTTTTATAAACTGAACTAATCAAACCGACTGCTACTTAACAACACCGAAACATTTTACCAAAAAACTTTGTAATAACCGGGAACAAAGTCCATAACCCTACTCATAAAAACTAAGCATATTTCAGTCACAAAAGCGGCACTAAATAAAGCAAACAAACCTGAAGAAAAAGAATAAGTGATTGATAAGTAACCGCAGCCATAACTGATGCTATGGCCCTTCCAACAAATAGAAGTTCAGGAACCTTAAGAATTATGGCCAGAAAACGCAGTATCGAAGCCAAAAGACTAAAAGCGTTTCCAACAATAAAACCAACTAAAATTTTTAGTTAAAAACAGGTGATTGGACATCAATCCAGTAATGATAACTAAAACAGAATCATTCATACCAACGTTTACATGCTTGAAATCACACTATCACTTACTTTTTCTCCCATATCGATCATTAAGTAAAGGTGAAAGCCAAATGCCAAAAAAAAACCCAATGAACCAAATATTCATTAATAAATTCCATATCCAGTCTGCTTTGGTGTCGTTAAAATTTATATGTT